TTTCAATCTTAATTTAAAGTTTTCTTTGCTTTTTTTTTTTACTGTAACTTTTGCACTAACAAATATTAAGCAAAAAAAAAAGAATCAAATTTTTTAAAACTTATACCTGCTCCATGCAATTGAATTTTCTGCTCGTTTCTTTAGGAACAATGGAACTGATACAAAATAGTAAATTGTACCAATAAGCGGAATAAAATAGCTTACAATAAATGAGATTATGTCAAAAAACATTTCGGCAACTAAAAAATACTGCAGTTGATGTCACTAAATACTGAAGTTCGAGAAAAATCAAACTGAAGTTGTGTAAACAACAGTAAAAAAGATTTCACTGAACGGTTAATTGGATTCCTTTAACAATAAACTGACTGTTCAGACCACAAACAGTTTTAAGTTTTTTTTTTTGTTTTATTGCAAAAAAGTTGCCAGTTTTTTTAAGACTATTTTTTTCCTTGTCTAGAACTCTTTTATCTGCAAATAAAAAAAATGTTCCAAACCTGGTGGTGGTAAGAATGAACATCGTAACAGATATGTAGCCGTCATTGTAATATTATCATGTGCTACAATAATATCCAATGTACCACTGTACAGCAAATGTGGTAATACAATTGCCAATACAATTGCCAATGCAATAGCAGTTTGAAAAACAGCAAACTATAAGTTGAATAAATAGAAATGAGATCTGTTAATTAGAGTAAAATTTTAATAAAAAAAAAAAACAAAGATTGTTTTTTGATTTCTATCACTGATACTGAAAACCGTATTCGACCCGCCTGCAATAACTAATTAAAAGTTGTTTTTTGTGTAAAGTTATAAGGCTTAGATTAAAAATTCAAAAAAAAAAAACTAACTAACATTCATACTAGATGCTTTTTTTCGTTCTATAGCATCCTGGCATACTGTTTTATAGCAGGTACGACTAATTAAGACGACAATAAATGGTGGAAAAAATTTGTTGCATGCTTCAACCAACAAATAAACATCGCATGCAATTTCGCCAAATATCCACATACCCCGGATCATATCCAGAATTACAAAGATTAAACCTGAAACCAAAACAGTGCTACTACAGTTTGCTGCAGCAACAACAACAACAACAACAGCTAAGGTATGTATCACTGGAGGAGGAATGTGAGGCTAAAACTTTGATCAACCCCAACAGATTCAAAGAGTGTAATTCCGCCGGTGCGATACATTGATCGTTTTGGTATGGCTGATGATAAATCCCCGAAATTAAGCAGTGGTTTTCCTTTTGCTATAGATTTATCATTGATAAATCATTAAATCAAAAACAGATCACATAATAATCCAAAATTTTTTTTTATTTATTAATTGTTTTTTGACTATATATCATCAAAAAGTTATTTCCTTCTTTTTTTTTTTCAGTTTAAAATTCTGCAATACTATATTCAGTCAGCCGACAACAGTGTTTTTTCTCTTCTGTTTCCTAT